ATGGTGGAGGGGGCGTTGCCCTGCGTCGGCGGCTGCTCTTAGCGGGTGAGTGGTGTTCACTTCAGAGGATCAGTGATGAGTGGAATGGGTTGCGCGCGCGGGCGGGTAAAATGACGGGGAAGCGGACGGGCGGGATGGTGGCGTGGGCGGGCGGGAAGGGTTGGGGGGGAACGCGCAGCTAACCGTCCTCTGTCTGCGCAGGTGCTTTTTTTGGCAGGGAGCAGGCCCCGACCGGCGTGTTCCCGTCCCTCTTCCCTTCCCCCTCCCCTCTCTTCCTCCTCCTCCTCCTCCTCCTCCTCCTCCTCCTCCTCCTCCCTGCTGGCAGGCAAGCATCCTTATAAGAATGACAGACTGCCTGGAGAGGTGGTCGCGCTGTCAAGAACCCAGGAATTAGAGTTTCTGGAGTCGATTGGGATTGCTGCCAGGGCCTCCGCCGCGGGAAGTGGCGAGGAGGCACACCTTTCCTCCGCCGCCTCAGGCGGCGCGGAGGACTGACCTGGCTTGACGCAGGTGGACGCGAGGTTCTCGCCCACGCTGTGCTCGCGGGAAAAACCTCCTCCTCCTCCTCGCACCCTCCCTCTTCCTCCTCGCACCCTCCCTCTTCCTCTTGCTCCTCTTTGTCCTCACCCTCTTGCCCTGCCTCTCTTTCCTCCTGCAGCTCCTACTCTTCCTCCTCCTTCTCCTCCCTCCTCCCTTCCTCCTTTTCCTCCCTCTTCCTCCTTCTCCCTGCTCCTCCCTCCTCCCTCCCCAGCCCTCGCCCAGCCTCCTCGTCCTTCTCCCTCTCCTCCCTCATCCTTCTCCTCCTCCTGCTCCTCCTCTCTTCTCCTTCTGCTCCTCCTCCCTCCTACTCCTGCTCCTCCTCCTCCCCCCGCCCTCCTCCTCCGGATTGCCCCCCTCATCCCTCTTCCTCCTCTTTCTCCCGCTTCTCCTCCTGCTCCTCCTCCTCCTCCTTCTCCTCTTCCTCCTCCTCCTCCTCCTCCTCCTCCTCCTCCTCTCTCTCGCCTCTTCGTCTCCCCCCTCTTCCCTTTGCTCTGCCCCCTTCTCCCTTTTCTAAGTCCTCCCTCCTCTCGCTGTCCGCCCGAGAGGCGCATAGACGCAGCATCGTGGGTGCAGGAGCCGGCTTCGCGCACAAGGCCTGGTGCCAGGGGCGCCAGGGCCTGCTGCAGGCGGTCCTGGCCACGGTGGCGGTCGCCTTTGTGGCCCAGGATGCCGCCGCCCCTTCCTCCCTTTTGTCCCTCCCCCCCCTCCGTTCCCCGCACTCCTCCTCCTCCTCCTCCTCCTCCTTATCCTACCTCCTTCTTGCTCCTCCTGGTCTTCGATCCTCCTCCATCCTCCTCCGTCCTCCTCCTCCATCCCCCTCCCTCCTCCTTGTTCTCCCTCCCTCCCTCCCTCCCCTTCCTTTTCCCTCCCCCCCCGCTGCCCTGCTCCTCACAGGCACTGCCTGCTCCTCGTTGCTACTCTGTCCCCATCCCTGCTCCTCCCTGCTCCCCCCCTCCCTGCCTCCTCTCCGCTTCCTTCTCCCTCCTTCCCCCCTGGTCGATCACGCGCACTGCGAAGCCGCGAGTCGCATCATCACCCTCCTCCTGCCTTGGCTCCTCCCTCCTTAGACCCCTCGCCTCATGTCCTCCTCCCCTTTGGCCTCCCTCTCCTCATCCTGCCTATCCCCTCTGTTTCCTCCTCATCACCACCATCACCATCATTACCACCATCATCATCGTCATCAGCATCATCATCATCACCATTATCATTACCAGCATCATCATCATCAGCATCATCATCATCATCATCATCATCATCATCATCATCATCGTCATCATCATCATCATCATCATCACAACCACCATGATCAGCAACAACAGCAACACCATCACACCATCATACGTATCATTATCATCATCACCACCGTCATCATCATCATCACCATTACCATCATCATCATCAGCATCATCACCAGCATCATCACCATCATCATCATCGCCATACTCCCCATCACCACCACCACCATCATCGCCATCATCATCATCATCATCATCATCATCATAATCATCATCATCATCACCATGGGTTTCCTTCGGGGATCATCCGTTGACATTGGAACGATACCCAGAAGAGGAGCACGTCCCCTGCGTGAGGATGACACGCATACATCGAGAAGTGCGTGCTGATGATGATGATGATGACGACGATGCTGATGATTATGATGATGATGATGCTGATGCTGATGATGATGCAGATGATGATGCTGATCATGATGCTGATGATGATGCTGATGATGATGGTGCTGCTGATGAGGATGATCATCATCACCACCATCATCACCATCATTATTATCACCATCGTCATTATCACCACCAGAAAAATCATCATCACCACCATCACCATCATCATTCCAGCATGTTCACTGTTACTTCCTGCGCCCCCCCCTTATCCCACCTTTTTTTTGTTTCTCTCTCTCTCTCTCTCTCTCTACTTCTCTCTGTATCTCCCTCTCTCTCCCTCTCTCTCTCTTTTCTCTGTCTCTCTCTGTCTCTCTCTTTCCCTGCCTTCTCTCTCCCTCATCGCACCCCTTCCCTCTTCCTACGTCCTCTCCTCTCCCTCCCCACTCCTCATCGCCTCCTCCCGTCTCCCCTCTTCCCTTCTTGCCTCTGCCTTCTGCGTCCTTCCCCTCCTCCCATCCTCCCTCCCTCCACCCCCGCCTCTGCACCCTTCCCTGTGACCCTCCTCATGCCTTCCACTTCTGGAGCGTGATTCTTATCACCGATCGCAACGGCGACGACGACGCACATGACAATGACACCGACGACAGCGACGGCGGCGACGGCGACGGCGGAGGCGACGGCGGCGACGACGACGATGATGACGATGGCGACGATGACGATGCTATCGATGATGATGGTGATGATGATGCTGAGAATGATGATGAGGATGATGATGGTACTGGTGATGATGAGGATGCTGAGGATGATGATGCTGCTGCTGCTGATGATGATGATGATGATGATGAAGCTGATGCTGATGATGATGCTGATGACGACCATGTCGAGGGTGATGATTGCGGCCCCAGTGCGTCGATACCGCGAACGATGTTAAGCATGACGGTGATGATGTTGACGACGGCGACAATGATGATGACGATGATGATGCTGATGATAATGATGATGATGATGATGCTGATGCCGATGTTGTTGATGAGTATGCTTATGATGATGATGATGGTCGCGCTGGTGATGATGTTGATGCTGAGGATGATGATGAGGATTCCGATGATTGTGATGGTGATACTGATGGTGATGCGACTGCTCTTGCTGATGTCACTGCTGATTCGACTGGTGCTGATTCGGATGCTGACGGTGGTACATGGTGGTGATCAGGATGTTGAAGTTGCGGATGCTTTTGCTGCTGATCACGATGACGATGTCGACGATGTTGTCGAGGAAGATGCGGCTATGCGGCTGTTGCGGATGCTGCTGTTGCTGATCATGATGGCGGTACAGGTGGTGCTGTCGATGATGAGGCGGCTTCCGCTGATGATGGTGACGTTGTTGATGGCGACGGTGATTATGCTGATGATGATGCGGTTGCTATGGATGCTGCTTATGACGACGACGATGGTGATATTGATGCCGTTGATGATGCTGTTTGCTATGGTGGCGAGGATGGTGCTGTCGCCGATTCTGCCAACGGCGACCATGCTGCTGCTGCTGATGCTGACGGTGCTGCTGCGATTGCGGCTGCTTCTCCTGGTGATGATGATGACGACGATGGCGACTCAACTGCTGACGATGATGGTGTTTGCTGTGGCGATGCTGATGACGACGCTGATGACGATGCTGATGACGATGACGATGACGACGACGATTATCATGATGATGATGATGCTGATGACGACATTGATGCTGATGCTGATTATGATGGGGAGTACGATGGCGATACGGATGATGTCGACGACGATGTTGTTGATGATGGTAATGATCATGACAATGCTGCTGGGGATGATGGTAATGCTGATGCTGATGCTGATGCTGATGCTGATGCTTGTGCTGATGATTGTTACGATTATGCCGATGGTGACCACGACGCTGCTGACTATGCTGATAATGATGACTTTGATGACTATGCTGATTATGCTGATGATGGTGATGGTGATCTTGATGATGATGACGATGCTGATTACGATGCTGTGGCGATGCTGATGACGATGCTGATGACGAGGCTGATGACGATGACGATGACGACGACGATGATCACGATGATGATGGCGATGTTGATGCTGATGCTGAACATGATGGGGATGACGATGGCGATGCGGATGATGATGCCGACGATGATGCTGATGATGCTGATGATCAAGATTAGGATGCTGGTGATGATGCTGATGCTGATGCTGATGATGATGCTGATGCTTGCGCTGATGATGATGCTGACGATGCTGCCGATGGTGATCACGACGATGCTGATTATGCTGATGATGACGACTATGATGATGATACTGACGATGCTGATGATGATGAGGCTGATGATGGTGATGATGCTGCTCTTGATGATAATGCGGATGATGACTATGCTGATGCTGATGGTGGGGATGATTCGGATGCTGATGCTGATGATGATGATGCTGACGCTGATGCTGATGATGCTGATGCTGATTGTGATGATGCTGATGCTGATGTTGATGCTGCTGCTGATGGTGTTGCTGCTGCTGATGATGATGATGCTGATGCTGGTGATGCTTCTGATGGTGGCGATGCTGATGATGATGATGATGATGATGATGATGCTGATGCTGATGCTGCTGATGATGCTGATGGTGATGATGCTGATGATGATGATGCTGATGCTGATCGTTATGAGGATGCTGATGCTGATGATGCTGATGCTGCTGATGATGATGATGCTGATGCTGCTGCTGATGATGATGATCATGATGATTTTGATGATGATGCTAATGCTGTTTGGAGCTGCCGTATGCAGCTGCATTCGGCCTCGCTGCTGACAGTACGAGAGCAGCCGCATGTAACTTGTTCGGGTGTTTCCCTTCACGCGTTGGTTTGTGCCCGTCGACGCGACCTCGAGCCACGCGGGAACGCCGACCATTTGCAGCACGTGCGCAGCTGGTTCCTTGCGGTCAGGTGGGGAGGGGGGCGCACAGCCAAGACGCTGAAATAAGGACCACTTCGGGCCAAGGAGAGGCCCTGGTTTGATCCAGGTGGGGGGACCTATTTGTGGCCGAGGCTCGCCGTAGCCAGGCGAGCTCCGTCGTTCCTAACTAATTCCTTACTCAGCGTTCCATATGGTAGGACGATGGCTGTACAGCGTGTCCTCGCCTGGTCGCCCGCTGGGCGGAACCGAGACACGGCAGTGTGGACCCTGGTGTGGCTTGGCACGCTGTGCTCTCTGAAAGCGCGTTTTGCAAGCCCCGTGCGGTTCGAGGGCACGCCGTGTGGAATCGACACGCCCATCCCCCTCTTCCTCTCTTCCTCCTCCTGCTCCTCTGCTCCCTCCCCCACCTCCTCCCCCACCTGAAGAATAAAAACAACAGGGCGCCACTGCCCTGGCGCCCCCTCCCCCACCCCCACCTCCTCCCCTCCTCCTCCTCCTCCTCCTCCTCCTCCTCCCCTCCCCCTCCCCCTCCCCCTCCTCCTCCTCCTCCTCCTCCTTCTCCTCCTCCTCCTCCTCCTCCTCCTCCTCCTCCTCCTGTGTATCAACCACTTAGGCATCATTCATGCATACATGCAGCGAAATATTACGCCACATATCTTGCACTAAATGTATTCCGCAGAGCACATGTCGCCGCGCCGTCTGTTCCGACGCGCGGCCAGCGTGGCCCTACGTTTTGGGGAGGGCGCCTCGGCCACCATGGCAAACTCCGCCTCAGACGCAAGGTTTGCCGTGGGTTTGTTGCGGCGCCCGCTTCGTCTATTTGAGCGCGTTCAGGTCACAAGGCGCGGTGACGTATATTCCACCGCGCGCACATACATATATCTTTCACATACAGTGCGCTACACAGTTTGCACCACACGGCTAGCTTGCCCCACACAGTTTGCACCACATACCGTGCACTACATACATTCACCACGCAGGGCGCACACACACACTCAGAGTGCATTGGGCCTCCGCCTCCTCTGGGGGATGATGTGTGTGTGTGGAAGAGGCAAGGACAAAAGGGCTTGACGAGGAGGACGAGCGCCCCCCCCCACGGTTCTAG